TATCAAGTAATAGACTGAGAACAATTTGGATACAAACAACCTCACGACATCAACATTCCTCTATAAACCTTTCAGTAGTGTAGCCTTAATAATTAATTCTAGTAGAAAGATACAATGCAAACGGTTTTAGAGAGTGTATATTGAAAGAAACCTCATAAATTCCTGTAATTACTTAAACGTTTCAGAATTTCTTTAACCGTTAAATTTTAGTAAATTTTGAAGTACACAACTGAATTCTCATTAATTTAGCCAAACCAATACAGCCCGATTGATGTCGACCCGCCGCAATAAATATTTGTCATTGCAGCATCAAATATTTACCCTTTCCCGGCGACAGCACAACAAATAGCAACATATCTACGAAAGATTCCGTTTGCGCCGTATAATTAAAGATTAATAAAGAATTACCCCATAATGAAAACGGGTCGCTTCGAGTTTTTCCTTCGGCAGAGGCCAGATGCAACATGCCGCGTTAAATAACAAACAAACATTCGAAAGGTTCACATGGGTAAACGGAGTCATGATGTAAACAATCCATCGAATATCTTTTTCGGTCGGTGCTGGTGTATTTCAAATGACAACGTTACCGTCAAGTTTTAACAAAAACTTCGTGGGTTAAAAGAAGCACAGCGAGCGTTTTGTTTCCAGGTTTTATATAGGATTGTTTTCCCGCGAGACAAGGGATATTTTTTTAACGTGGATGTGTTTATTGTCATTAGCCGATGGGTAGGAATTAATTTGTACTACTTCGAATCGATTAAGTAAATAAAATACGGAGTTTTTCTAATCCGAGTAATTTCTCGAAACAAAACAAAGTCTTATTATTTCGTAATCGTCCTTAATTGGAAGGTTTTTACTTAACAATTTTTTCTATTTCGAATGATTACGTTTTTAGGAAGAAAAGAATGCTTAGATCCTAGATGAATCGAATTTCGAGTCGTTGATGCCATTGAGCTTACATTTCAGTGCTTTCTCTGTTTCATACATTCCAAAATTCAACTAAATGTCTCTTTCCTCAAATCTGTATAAATATTATTTACAAATCCAGTCGTTGGCTTCCAAAGTTTGATGTTTTATAAAAGTTAGGAGATTTGTTTCATGAATCTCAAATCCAAAACAGAAAAACGAAGAGACGAGCAGGTATGTATCGTAAATTGAATTATTTTGTAAAAAACCTAAAGGGCATTCAGATATATTTTGCATTTCATTTGTAAAGCGAGTAAAGATTCCAATGCCAAAATCCCAGGATTTCCTACATGTAGTTAATATTTCAGGAAACGAATATAATACATACAAATATCCTATAATAATGTAAATTCTTGGCCGAGTTCATGGCCCAGATATTATGGATTATATTTTAATAAAATCTATAAATAGATCGTAGAAGCTTCTAACGTACCGCCAAACATATTTTATCTTATCAATTATTTTATTCATGAAACAAATTAGAATTAAATATCAATACCTAACCCAATACACTGCAGTATAAATAACACATTTAATACACACCACGACGTTAATTAAAATATAACTAGGGAAAAATTAAGGGTAATAAATTAAAACCTCGGACATTAATGTCCTAATTCAAACTTTTTTTCTCTAATAAACATCCGATAATTTACTATCGAGTAGTAGATTTTATAGTTCATTTTATAGGCAAATGTACGAGTAAATGAACTCGATAAATATATTCAAGAGAATTGTAACCATTTTTGATTATTATCTCCATAGCGTAAATCTTAAAAATGAAAAGGTAAATGGATGTAAAACAGGTTAAAAGATCTTTTAAAAAACACGCGGGGAGATCGATTAGTCCTGATAGAGATAACTAATCAACTTTAAACTGGATCTCATGAGTCCATACATCTGCAATATCTACTGATTGATGTGGAGTAGATACAAAGCCAAAGGAAATCTGTTTCATCAGTTTTGTATAAATCTTTTAAGGCAGTTAGTTACACTATTTGAGACATATTGGATATGTAGGTATGGGTGTACTTATAAATTTGAATAATGGTTTAATATCGTGAAGTTTCAAGTTAGAGAATGTTGTGTAGTGCTTTTAGTAACACTTAAAAGCGTGTGGACCACTGACATTCCGATACAACTAATTGTGATTGATTATAGCGTTGCATTTCGATGTTCTGTAGATGTTTCACGTAAAGGGGAATTGAACTTGTTTCTCTGATGAATGACCACTTTATGCCGGAAACGTTGCAAATTTCTGCTATTAACTATTTTTCTTTTGCATAAGCGATAGGACGTTAATGTTTCAAGCAAGTAATGTTTCAAGGTATATTTTTCGGAGTGTTATAATTTATAATGTTTTTGTCTTATAGTGTTTATAGTGTCTTATAGTGTAAAAAAATAGAAAAATATTACATAAAGTTGAAGAATGTATATGTCTTGGAAAGTATCGATTTAATTGAACAAACATTATAAACTTATAAAACATACTTCAAGTAAGCAAATAAATAATTAAAAAAAAACAATATAATAGGATTATTTCAGTATTATACTGTGCAATTGAAGAAGAGTTAATCAGTATAATTATTAACATCAGGTAAGTAGGTACTACAATTAAGTATTAATATAGGTACTTATATTTGTACTTATTTTGTAATACCTACATACATTATGTAAAAAATGTAGTTTCTAACTTAGGTACTCTTAACTCCACTAAACATTTATCAGAATAACAATACAAATTACACATTATTTTCTTCTATCTAACTAAATACTTTAAGATCTAAACCCTAACTCCTCGACCTACGAAATTTATTTCCATCATACGAAACTCGTAGCGCGTGAAAGATAAATATCACATGTTTACGAACTCCGGAAATATATTTTTTTTCTTTTATTCACAGCAATTTAGTGCCCCTGAGGTGCCCACTGTGTTAAAAACAAATTTTAACGTTACGGTTAAAACGAGGATGAAATTAATTAAAAGTAGTAAAATATTAGACTGAAATGAATCTGACAGCAAATTTACGATTTTCTGATTTATTCATTTATACGCCCAGAATTAAGTTGAAGTATTTTATATTTGTCGTCGAGTCATTGAGGAAAACTCATTAAAATAATTTTAATGAATGTGCTACTCGTATGTACATATGTATAAGTGAAACACGAGTGGACGAAAAAAGAAGAGAATGAATTTCACCTGTGATATAGATACATACATACATAGTTAGAAATATATGGTTTATATGATAATAATTAGTAGGTTTTCGATGAGAACCTAGACCTAAAAATGTATAAATAACATCGTTTGACGCTTGTTATACAATTTTGATCTTATAATAGAATCAATAGCATTTCTTACGCCGCGAACTCATTAATTTTAAATAACCCTAACAAATTATTTAAAGCTAAAAACCGATATTGAACATTTATGCCAAACAGTGTAGGTAGGTAGAAACTGGTTTTTTAAATTTATTATGAAGTCACTGACATCCTCGAAGTGGATTTTAATTAAAAATAAAAGGAAATATTTGTGCCTATTTGTTCCATTAAACTATTTTTCATTGGAAAGATTTATCAGTGAGAATAAGATTGTGCGTTTTCTCAAAATGTTTAATTATGGAAACGTTAGTAAATTTGATATATTCCGGTTCTGTCGGTATTCAATTAATTTGTCAATCGACTCTTCGAAAATTATATTTAAAGTTTTAATTAAGTTCTTTTGATTAAGACAGGATAACACAAAGGAAATTAATTGACTTGAACAAAACCGGTATAATCTTACTTGAATTAATTTCGGATGTCTTTCGGTTTAAAAAAACGATTTTTATAAAAGTTATGCACCATATGTGTTCTAAGTAAGTATTCCCGCAGCTTTTATCAACATTTTTCCTGCAACCCCAAATCGGTTAAAATTTTTGAAGTGTTTGCAGTTACAGTCAAATAACAAACACTGGATAGGTACGTAGGTACCTAACTGGTTGAATATAAAAAATTTACGTTTCCACCAATTTCAATGTTTACCTTCCTAAAATACACATGAAGTCCTGTCAGGACTGTTCCCGTCATTACTAATTCAAAACGAGCGACTGGCCTTTTCCTGGAGTTTTTATTTAGAGTCCATAACCAGTATGACAGACAAAATTCCATTTATAGATTTTCCGAGTTTATTGCGATTTTTATGTGTTTATTTTAAGACTTTTATGGATATTTTAACAATACATCAACTATTAATAATCACTAAAAGCTTAAATAACAAACGAATTAACACAGGATAATAAATTTCTCAATTTAAATGCGGCAAAGTATGCACATATAAAATATACAAAGCTATTAACTGAAGATCTTTAATTAAACTATAAGAAAGTATTTTTTATTCAGTGAAATAAATCAAATCAAAATAGAATAACTCTAGAAATTTTCCGAGTCAAATTACTGAGGTAATTTGAATTTGCGTATGTTTTAAAAAACGGCGTATAAATTTCGATTATTGAGGGAACACTCAATTTACCGTTAAGAAACATTGCGTTCCATCAAGATTTTTTTGTTTTGTTTAAACATGAAGAAGAAATGCCGATTGCACAATAAGCATTCAGTTAATAATGGTTTCTAACCAGTATATTGGTCTTAATACTGTTGAGAATGTAATGCATATACGAGTAATCCTAAATTGTTCGAAATTTGTATAGGTAATTTTGGACTTGAATATTAGAGAAAATTTTTGGGTTAACTTAAGAATTAGGAAATTGTGTGCATTGTATTTACTTATAAGAGTTTTATGCAGTGAATTTACTGCACCAATTTCAGCATCGCGTAAAAGTTTCTCTGAGCTTCGACAAGCTTTTCGCTCGCTGTTTGTATTGTTAGTATTATGCAGTAAAATGGCGCAATTGGAATTGCAATTGGTAATGGCTTATTATTTACTCCTCTCGACTCTAATGGTAATACATTGCAAGAGGTGGAGATGAAGTATGCTTAAATTATTTCGTACTTTGCTTGCATTTGAGAAATTTGTTTGCATACTTATAACTTACTTGGTTTGTCTAGTTCATTTTGAGTGGGTCCGTCGTCGAAGTTGAACGTCAAACAAATCGGCATTAAAATAAACAGTAACCAGACGACCATCATCCTCAAATTCAGCAACATCTCACCACATCTAGCACATTTTTACTCATCCACCGCACTCCGATCTTCCGGCATTTTCTGCCGCATATCCTTTCAAATTTATGTTAATGTCCAATAAACAAAGTTTTCAAACACTCTTCCGAACCACCCGAATTTAAATACCCGTGACAATTAAGTCGAGGATTAATATCTTTAAAGTACATGCAACAACGGGCCGTCCTGCATGGTTCGCGAAGAGGTCGCGTTACGAGAGATAGGAGCCCGATATACAAGCGGATGGAACGCCTTGTCGCTGTCGTGCGCGCTAGAACGTCGTTTGGGCGATACTAAAACGCGCTTTGGCGGCCGCGACCGCCTTCGAATGCGCTGCTACCTCGTGGATTTCGGCGGTTCGCGCCTCCAGAAGGGACGTGTGCGTTTGCCCGGAGGTCCGAGGAAGCGCCGTCGACGTCTCGACTTTCGCTCTTCGACGGATACCTGCTCGTTCCGCTCGTTCGGGATGCTCTAGTCTAGTTCCGGCTGCTTTTTTTCAGGCTATTTGTTCTTTCGGTTAGGACTACTCGCACGCGGATATTTTAGCATTTGTTGCTTATACTTGGTATGGCAGCTTTGAATAGATTTATTGAAATTGAGCATATACAGTCTTTTTTCGACCATATTGCTATGATTGATGAAGAGGCTCGCAAGATTAATTTCTCGCTATTATAATGTAACTGAAATTAATAAAAAAGGGTGCAAAAAATATGTATGTGTATCTGAAAGAATAAATTGCATCAACTTAAAAGAAGCAATCATCTAAAGCAAAACACAATGCAGATTGAAAGGCAACAGTTGTTTTAAGTATGTGGAACATGAACATTAACGCGGATTATTCAATTGCTTTAATTAGAACAATCAATCTTAGGGTACTCGATTGCCTACATTAATATTTACAATTAGATAGTATCAAAACCAGGTTGCTAAATTGATATATCATGTCTACATAATTTCATGTACGCTGCCGAATCGATCATGCAAATTCGGGGGCGGTCGGGAGCTTTTAGAAAAACCGTCGCGGTAGACTACATTACCGAAATGGTATTTTTTTAATCCCTATAATAAAAGCTGTAGTGGTCATTGGTTGACACATTAGGTAGTGTGCTGGAGTCTTTGGCAATTTTTTAAATTTTAAATTCATAGAATCTTAGACGGGTACAAACGTATTGCGATAAAGAAAGAGTCTCTTTAACAAAATATAGTATTACGCATTTTATCGACTAATACATTTTGAATAGAAGGGTTTTGTAAATTTTTTTCTTAAATGCTTAGTGTAAAGTATACATTACATATTTTCTTCAACTCATCTTGGGGAATATTTACTGGCATTTACCAACACTTACCAACTTACCAAACATAGTTAATCTTAGTGGGCGTCGGCCCTGCGTATAAAAACGAATTATAGCGTGGGAAAAAATCGTGTCTTTGCGTCGGCGTCTATGATTGAATTACTAAAAAACGTCCTAATTGACTTTTTGCGTAAAAATTCATCAATCTCCTCGAGATTTTTTGCTTAGATACTATCTGATGTTTAACATTGTAATTTGGATTACAATGTAACTTTGTTATAATCGCTGGAGAGTTCGATAAAAATTTTGATTGATGTCCTTAGCAAGGCGCAAGATTGATTACGGAAAGAATAAGTTCGCGAGGCTCGGCTGCCCCCCAAAATAAGAATTGATGATTATGGTTATTTGTGTGTGAAATAACGATTTAAAATTTCCAATGTGGTTCAATTTAGATTAGTTATATAACCGTAAATTAGAAACTCGTAATCGTCCACAATTTCAAACGCATAGTGTTTTGAATTCTGGTTGAAATTCTTATATAAGTAATTTGATCTTATTTACTCGTTTACAACAAATTGTAATGATAATGAATTTTTAATCAGCGTTGATTATTAATTCCTTGGTGAACAAGCAGTCGTTGACGGGGGTCTACGTCTGTTTCTGTCACACTAAATTCCAATTTTATTATTTGTAGATATAATACTTGTCGTGTTAAATGCATGATTAATAGCATAGTCTGATAATAAATTTATTATTTAATGGATCTGTCTCTACAATTTGCCGTAATGTGTGTGTTTACCAGTAACGGTTATCTGTTATGAAAATTTCAGTATCTGTCCGTTGGAACCTGAATGGATACCTAATCAGGGATGAAATTGAAAATTAGATGCATTAAGGAACAATGCTAGGTTAACGCTGATGAGAAATTATTCCATTTTCGATCCGAATGCTGTACTAATTGCCTAAAATTTGTTGTAAATTGCTCATATCTCTTGCGATATTTTTTATTGTATCTATAAACTCACATAATATATAAATAATCCTTTCCTTAGGCACTACCTCTTCCTTTATAGATATAGGCAATTCAAGGCTAAGTCACGTTTCTGAAAATTATCATAGGTGTATTTTAGTTATTTCGTGGTTGCGTTTCCGTAATAAATTAAAAAATCCAGAAACCCATTATAATACAACGCATTTATACATATAGGATAATTTATTACTCGTTGACATAAAGGTGCTAAAAAATTCGTTTAGCAGAAGATTCCTTCTTAATTTTATCGATAAAATATTGTTAACGTTGAATTAATATTCTAGTTTCTAAATTATGTATCAACTTTCCATATTTCACTGTTACAACACTGATTGTTTTGTGAATTGATTTGTGAGAATTAATAAGAAATCTGATATAAAATATTTGATTTCACCTGTGTTTTAGCAGATGATATATAATATTATTTATTTTTCCCACGATTTATTACAAAATAAATAATGTAAAAAGCCACTTTAGTATGACAAATGAGAATGAAATGAAAACAAGTGAAACGAATGAAAAATTAATATTTTTGTACAATTTAAATAATACATATACGTACATATATGTATACAGATTATAAATTAACCAATAAATCGATTTAAGTACATCGGTAATAAAATCGTAGTGTAAATTACCTACTGACAAATCAGTGAAAGAAAATATTTGGAAATAGTCTGGATAATCTGTTCCCGCAATGGAATACATTCAGTAGCTGCTTTCGGAAAAGACCCATTTGCACCCGCAAATGCGGATTTATTGAAAGGAATGCGAAAAGAAAAATCTGAACTTAAAATGTAACTTTCAAAGAAATTTCCCAGACTGGTCAAAAGCTACGTGCCGCGAATTCCATAGCTTAGAAGTAGCCTCCTTTTATTGACCCACTGAAAATGAAGACAAATAGTTGCAGAAATTTCTTCTCCCTACTGAGATCCTATTTATGATGTATCAATTTATTTACGATGTATCGATTGATGATTAGTAAACTTAGAACCTCAATGGTTTGAGATATGTTTAATGATAAATTATGTTGTCGCATTAGCATTGCTAACGATGAGCAATAGGTATTTACCAACTCAACTTCAAATTGGATTAGATATATTATTACGTAGGTATTTATATAAATTGAATTGTTAGAGTTATAAAATAAGTAACAAATAACTCGTTTATATTTATGTAGATGTATGTTAGAAGATACATATATTAAAAAATGTAATCGTACATTCCGATGATAGAATTATGGTTGGCAAAATATGCTTTAAATGCTTTGTAAAGTGGCTGAAAATGTGTAAGCTCATACAAACTACCAATATCACCAGGTGTAGCGAGTAAATTCTGGTAATATCTGATTCAAAAGTATGAGCAGGTTTGCTGTTGAATCGATATTTTATTGAAGCAGGGATGGAGTAATTGGACGTTGTAATGAATTATTGTCCCGTGCAAAATCCCAATTCCTTTGTTTATGTAATATAATGCCCTCCGCATAAAAATCACAATGAATCACATTTGACGTTTGAATTAAATTGTTTACCTGCAAGAATCTATTTTAAAATTGAAACTACCTGTCAGCATATTGTTAATAATGCAAATTTTAAATTTGATTACCAAAATATTTATTTTTACTCGCAATCAGTATTTGATCAATTCGCGTATATCAAATGTCCTGATTAAACATTCCTGATTGCAGAACAAAACTTTCATATTTGTAAGAATAATTTTTTTAACATCCAAGCGCAATAAAACCCAGCCGAAAAAGGTAATTTTATTGCTGCAGAGGGCACCAAAGTGTGCAAAACGAGCAATCCAAACTTTTAGATACCCACGCATGATACACGCGCCAAAGTGATAACATTCTAATATTAAAAATAAATACGAAATGCTGAATAATTCAAAATTACCGGAGTGAAAGTTTCGGGATATTAATAATCCCGAAAAAAACTTTTCAATTTCACAACAAACTCCGGGAAGGTTGTTTCTACATAAATTACGTCACACCGTTGGTGCTACCAAGCATTAATCATCACGCTAACATTTTTTAATTTACTCGCTAAAGGGTTGCAAGGCTTTGAAAGTTGGTTGGACAATTTTTGGAATTATTATTAGATACTCCCCGGACCATAATTCACTTAGCCTGTACAAATTACGTTAAAAATTCAAATTTCGCATGCGCAATTTGAATGCTGCCTTACGGAAAATAATAACATCGTAAATCAAATCTCAAGTCATCAAGCCATTTGAACGGAGTCAATTTAACGCCACCAGATAATGAGAACTCCTGAGATGGAAACGCATAAGTATTACTGGAAATAGTGATGCAAACGGGTGCATCCGAATGCCGCACAATAAAGTATTCATTAGAGAGAAGTAAAGCAACCCAAATACCAACAGTGACTGCCTCCATTCCAGATAACAAATATATAATCCATCTTTATATCCAGGCATAATGAACCTATTAAAGCAGAGCAAGACTGGGTTTAATTAAATATACGTAGTCGTTGTAACAGGATTCTGGATTAATATTCAGGGACTTTTCCGAGTTATTATTATATCGACAGGACTTTCTATTAAACGCCAAAAACCTTTAGGGAATCTGAGATTTAAGAGCAGTTTCCTCATTTACCATAAATCCTTTTTATCTAAAAAAGTCAAAAATTACACAAATTTAATGGTCCGTAATTATTTAAGCAATTCAATGGTTTTCGATAAGCATCGATGGATCATGTTAACGGCAATCAGATATTTACGAAATATTACTGTAGCATTATGGAAAATTATATTCGCTTCCCAACAATTTTAACGTTGGTGTGTCAATGTTGTTTGAAATACAACAGTTCTAATTTTCAATCTATGTTTACATTTCCATTTAATTAAATCAATATTTGTTTGCCATTACTGAAATAGTTCTAGAATGCTCAAATTGCTATTGGTAGTAAATCCCGCAAAATAATTGTTATTGTT